GTTGTGCTGCAGACCGGGCGTGCGATGCCGGCTGGGGGTGCAGACCGGGCGTACGAGGCCGGCTGGGGGGACGGCGGTGTGGGGCTGGCTGGACGCTGGTGACATGCGGAAACCGCCTCGTGACATGCGGAAACCGCCCGCGAGCGAAACTGGCGCGGTGCACGCTCGTGACATGCGGAAACCGCCCCCGAGCGAGACTGGCGCGGGGGACGCTCGTGACACGCGGAAACCGCCCGCGAGCGAGACTGGCGCGGTGGACGCTCGTGACATGCGGAAACCGCCCGCGAGCGAGACTGGCGGTGGACGCTTGTGACATGCGGAAACCGCCCGCGAGCAAGACTGCGCGGTGGACGCTCGTGACATGCGGAAACCGCCCGCAAGCGAGACTGGCGCGGTGGACGCTGGTGACATGCGGAAACCGCCCGCGAGCGAGACTGGCGCGGTGGACGCTCGTGACACGCGGAAACCGCCCGCGAGCGAGACTGGCGCGGTGGACGCTCGTGACATGCGGAAAACGCCCGCGAGCGAGACTGGCGAGGTGGACGCTCGTGACATGCGGAAACCGCCCGCAAGCGAGACCGGCGCGGTGGACGCTCGTGACATGCGGAAACCGCCCGCGAGCGAGACTGGCGCGGTGGACGCTCGTGACAGGCGGAAACCGCTCGCGAGCGAGACTGGCGCGGTGGACGCTTGACATGCGGAAACCGCCTGCGAGCGAGACTGGCGCGGCGGACGCATGTGACATGCGGAAACCGCCCGCGAGCGCTCGTGACATGCCGGCGAGCGAGACTGGCGCGGTGGACGCTCATGACATGCGGCAACAGCCACGTGCGCGGCTCCATGTGAACAGCCCGGCGTTCCAGGTACGCCATAATTAATTGTCCTTTTTGCCGCACACCTGACCCGAACAGACGGTGCCAATGTGTTTCTAGGACGAACCCTCTGTTCAGAAGCTGTAGCCTCTTGGGGTTCGCCCTACTTATTTGGAAGCAGCCTGGAAGCACGTTGACATGAATATGCTGAGCACACTCGGCCCAAGCAAAAGGGCGCATGAACATCCGAACATGACCCCGGTCTACGCAGATCGTGGTAACACTGACAGGCGTCAGACCCACCAAGTGACCGAGGCTTGTCCACACCGAGCCCCCCGCAAAAGCACAGCGCCGGCCCCGTCTCCACACACCTGCGGCAAATCCACCCAACTTGCCACACACACGCATCCAATTGACAACGTGCGCGGCCCTTTCCACAAAGTCACCAGTTGCAATTGGTTGCGAATGGGAAAATAGGTGGAGAAACTAACGAATCCAAGCAAGCTTGCGAAGCAAGTTTGGACAGCCCGGCGCCAAAATTGTCCTTTTTGCCGCACACCTAACCCGAACAAATGGTGCCAATGTGTTTCAAGCTGTAGCCTCTTGGGGTTCGCCCTACTTATTTGGAAGCATCCGAACAGCTGACCCCGGTCTACGCAGATCGTGGTAACACTGTGTCTCAGACTTGTTTCAGACAGGCGTCAGACCCACCAAGTGACCGAGGCTTGTCCACACCGAGCTCCCCGCAAAAGCGCAGCGCCGGCCCCGTCTCCACACACCGGCGAATCCACCCAACATGCCATCCACACGCATCCAATTGACAACGTGCGTGGCCCTTTCCACAAAGTCACCAGTTGCAATTGGTTGCGAATGGGAAAATAGGTGGAGAAACTAACGAATCCAAGCAAGCTTACGACGCAAGTTTGTGAAGGCCACGTGCGCGGCTCCATGTGAACAGCCCGGCGTTCCAGGTACGCCATAATTGTCCTTTTTGCCGCACACCTGACCCGAACAAACGGTGCCAATGTGTTTCTAGGACGAACCCTCTCTTCAGAGTCTGTGGCCTCTTGGGGTTCGCCCTACGTATTTGGAAGCAGCCTGGAAGCACGTTGACATGAATATGCTGAGCACACTCGGCCCAAACAAAAGGGCGCCCGAGGCTAGGGCGAACCCCAAGAGGCTACAGATTCTGAAGAGAGGGTTCGTCCTAGAAACACATTGCCACCATTTGTTCGGGTCAGGTGTGCGGCAAAAAGGGCAATTTTGGGCAATGCGAACATATAGTGCACCTGCCCGCGCATGCCTGCACATTGGCACGCGCGCGCGCGCGCAAACGGTGCACAACTAAAATGAAAACTTGGCGGCAGGGAAGGAAGGAAGGAAGGTGCCCGCCATAGGTCTAAGTCGTTTGCGCACGCCTGCATTTTGCCCTCGACCAACCGCTTGCATGTGACATAGAAGCAGATTGTCCGTGAATAGGAGGCAGGGCGACAAAAAGGGACAAGCAGCCCTTTGTTTCACGTGGTTGCCGGGCAATGCTAATATATAGTGCACCTGCCCGCGCATACCTGCACATTGGCACGCGCGCGCGCGCAAACGGTGCATAACTTAAATGAAAACTTGGCGGCAGGGAAGGAAGGAAGGAAGGAAGGAAGGCGCCTGCCTTAGGACAAACTAGTCTTGAAGCAGCTTTCCGCCGTAAACACAGGGCTTTCGCCCCACTCATGCGTGTTGGAAGTCGGTCTTGCACGACACGGTGTAAGAATCAGGCGTGCGCGCGCGCCATGGCTTTGCAGCACGGATTTCGTCCATGCAAATAAGCTCGAGGTGGAATACCTGACCGCTCACTGAAGCTGGCGCTTGAGGCATCCGAAGGTGCTTGCTCCATCAGAATGGTGGGTGTCAAATAGCGCCCAGTGAACATGTGTTTTTTCATGGATTCGCGAGGGGGAAGCCCGGGATTTTCATTGGCAGTTGTTGTTGGGGTCGTTAGGTCATCCAACAATGGGGCACTGAATAAATAGAATTTGCCAAGCCAACATCGTTGTGCTAAGTAGGGTGATTTGTTGAGCTGTTGCCATTTTTCCAGCATTGGACGTGGATAGAGGGACCTTTTTAGCTTGGCGTATAGTTGTCCAACATCCTCCTGTGCATTTCCATGATTCTTCGAAAGGGGGTAGGGTCACTTTGTTATGCTGCCCTGTTGGTTTTGACGGAGCCATGTTATGACTGGACTGTACGCATTTAGCGGAACATCTTTAAATGCCTGTTTATGATCCCTGTTAGGTGTTGTCAAGGGAAATGGTCATGACGGGTATCCCGACCCCCCCCGTTCATCAGCCAGCACAATCAGCTCCCGGACTTTAGCCACTTTTAGGGAACACGGTGCTGGTGCACAACAAGTGTTTCGACTTTCTTGATCGATCCACTCTGGAAGCATTCGGGATGCCTCAGCTCTTTGGTGTAGCAGGCAGACCAAATGGATGGCGCGCTACGAAAATGGCTCACAGGAAACGGTCACTGGTTCTTCTTTGTTGCCTCCAAGATGTTGGAGTTTCAGTCTGGGCCAAAAACACGTCTGGGCCACAAACACGAGCTCAGATGGGTGCAGAGCGAGCTTATGCCTTGCTTCCAATTTGGGAGTGGTAGTTTGTGCGGATCCATTTTCGGATTTCTGCGATTGGCTCTTCATGATGAATCAGATGACTTCGTGCCTTCCATGTAGTGCGGGCCCTGTCATGTTTCACCCGTGCCTTTGCCTTTTTCTCTGTGCTTGGTCAGAGCACAGGCTGCTGGCTGCCAATTCGGCTTGAGTCGCGGTTGCTCCCCTTCTTCATCTGTTTTGGGGTTGATTTCCCAACTGTGAACAACTTAAATCTTGGTTTGCCTTCGGACCCTTGAGCCGGAAAACACCGGGATCCACATGCCATGGGGAGTGAGGCTGGTTTGCTTTTGGGTTCCCGGGCTCCTCTTGTTTTCCACCAAAACAAAGGGACCCCGCTATTTACAAGGCAATGTTCAGGTGTATAATGTAAGGATCCCATCCCTGCTACGGAACACATGGAAGTTTCTGTGGAGCTGAGGGGCCGGATGCCCCGTTTTTTCTTTTTTCTTTTTTATCGAACCCTCCGAGCGGCTCGGACCAAACAAACGCCCCGAGGTGGGCGTGGTGGTGGACGGGTTCCGTGGCTGGGAGGCCTTCCAGTTGCCGGTGCGGCGCAAGGTGGCGCCGGGGACGCAGAAGGCGCGAGTGGAATGGGGGTGGGGTGGGTTTGGGACGTTTGGGGTGGGATGGGGTGAGTTTGGGGTGGGGTGGGGTGGGGTGGGGTGGGGGGCAGGGTGGGGTGGGGTGGAGGGCGGGGTGGGGTGGGTTTGGGGTGGGGTGGGTTTGGGGGCTGGGGAGAGCCAGCAGAGGGCCAGTGTTGCCAATTTGTAGCTGTTGGCTGTTGGCAGCCATTGCAGTTGCTTGTGCAAACAGTATGGAGTGTTCCGGGCACATATGTTCTGGATCCTTTCGTGCTCAAACAGCATCCTTGCTTTCTGTCGGGTTGGGCGATTCAATTGCTTAAACATGTTTAAACATCAATCCTGGTCAAACGACCTCCTTTTGGGTTGCCTTTCAGGCCCAGAGTCCATTGTGCAGACCAAATGTGCAACCAACCCTACTGCCCCCAACCCCCAAGCCTCCCAAGCCCCCGTCCCCCAGCTCCCCCTGCCCCAGCTACCAACCACCCCCCCCCGACCCTTCCTAGCCCCCACTCCCCTCAACCCGTCCTCTTGCCCAGACGCCGGTGAAAGCTGCGCCCAAAGCACAGCCGCAGCCCGTGCCGGCCGGTCCCGGCGCGCAGCCGGTGCCGCAGGTGGTGGCGAAAGCTGCACCTGCGCTTCAGGCGCCGAAGGCGCGGAGAGGGGCGGGCCAGACAACTGTTTCCTTCGTTTTTGAAGAGGTGTTCCCCTTTTGTCCCATGGCCATTGGGAGTCTGGGATGGGGGCCCTTTCGAAGAATTCGGGAAATTCTGCAGGAAGTTGGCACACCTACCAAAAACCAGAAATTGTGGCTTAGTACCCAACGAGTGGACACATTGACTATTTTCAGCCTTCAGTGTGCATGTGAAAAACTGGTGTGAATCCATGTCCATCATTGTCATTTGTCCCTTTGGTTTCTTGACTGCGCGATGAAGCCCACACAATTGAACACCAAGGCTTGAATTTGCGAATTGATTGCAGGAACAGCTCCACCACCAGTTACTCCAGTGACAGGCAGCCCAGAGGTTCTCTTAAGAAGCCATTGGACTTCATTCCATTTAACCTTTTGCCGCCTCTTTGGTGTTCCATCATGGTTCCTTTCAACCAACAAACATGTATATCTTTTTGCAGGGGGTCGAAGTCTGGTCAAGTTATAAGAATGGCTATTCCGGCTTTATCTCAAAGTGATGCTGAGGATAGCAATCTAATTCATCTCCCGCTTTTCGGTTTTTGCAAACTTGAGCGGCCGTCGCAGAATCTTGTCGACAAAAAGGCATGGCAACCCAGATAGTCAACACACTAAACTGTGCAGTGAATTCATTTTGATAGTACCACATTCCAATTACCAAGGGCCCCTTTATATTTTGCCAAAGCCAGGAGAATCAAAGAACCACTGACACGTGGCACACCAAACAGTGTACAACTTCCCCTTTCTGTGGGTTTGAGTTGAGTCTGCGGGATTCTTCCGAACTTCCGCTTGTTGACCTGCCTTTTGAACTTCGTAACGTCTCTCAGACCGCGTCTTTCGGAACCAACCAAAAAGGGGTGCCCGTTGTCCCATGGACAATTCCTGAGGGTTTGTCCAAGAAAACTCATCGTGCTCGCAAAGCGTTTCCTGAACTCAAGACGTGAATACGCGACGATGCGAGAAGACGCGCAGACGAGAAGACGCGCAGACGAGAAGACACGCAGACGCGAAGACGCCGCACGACTAAGTCACGCACCAATTGCAGCAGAATTAATCACGTTGAGCCGTCGGGGAGCCGCGGCGTTGGGGTGTCGGCGTGTCACGGCGTCGGAGAGAGGTCACTTCAAGGCTAGTTCAGGCAAGTGTTGGGTAGTTAAGGTAAGTTGAGGTTACTTTGAGACAAGTCAAGATTGGTTATGGTCAGCCAAGGCCAGGTAAGTTGGCTGAGGTAAGTTGAGGTTAGTTACGGTAAGTTGAGGTTACCTAAAATTAGTCAAGGCAAGTGATGCTTGGAATGGGTAGTAAAGGCTGGCCAAGCTTAGCTGTAGCTCGGCTCAGCCGTGGCTCGGTTGGACGCTCTCCGAGGCCGCAGAGGTGCCAGCTTCCGCAGCTCCCGCGGCGGCGGTGCCGGTGCCGGCCACGCGCGCGCCGATGCCGGAGAAGGCGGGTGGTGGCGTCGTGCTCTATCCATGGTTGTTGTTGGGAAACATTTTTCATTTTTGCTGGTTATTGTGGTTTAGTGGGAAATCCCCACTTAACTGCTAAGACATATTTTGTTGCTCCCCTTCCAACGTTAACCAAGTATCTTTCGGCGAGTCCTGCTCTTCGTTTTCTAGGTGCCCTTTTACCGTTTCTTTTTTGGGGGAGGGTTCCCCTACTCAAATAGACTACGGAAAAAAAGGGTACCCTTATTCTAACCTCTCTACTGGAGGACCTAGTTTTAGTGCAAGGAACAACATAGCTCGCGCTTTGGTCTTTGTGACCTCGCCCACTAGACTTGCTGCTCAGGGAAGAGTGCAAGAAGCAAAGTGTGCGGTGGCGAGGGAAGCTTTAGATCAGCTTCCTCAGCGAGTAACCCTGAAAGGCGGAGTCTTCGCCGTCGCGGCCGCAGATTCCCAGCCGACCCTGGGTAAGGCGCGGGTCTGTGCGACTGAAATACCGGAGAGGTTTGACATGAGTTCTCCCGGTGGGTTTATCTAATGCCAGATAGGTGCAGACCCAAATTATGGTTTTTCTTTCGTGAAGACAAAGGGGTTTTTTCCCAAAACACCACAGCAGAACACATTGTGGTCCAAAATCAGACATGTGTTTTTTGGTTGGGGGTGGCGGCGCAAAGACGGTAGGTTTGGTGTTTGAAGTTTGCAGCCATGATGGAAACATGATGCCACGACAGATAGCTGGCAGTTTGTAGTCTTTCACTCGGTGTTTCTGTTCAGATCATGGATGTCATAGTGGCCATGTTCTGGGAGCTTGCGAAGCATTTACCGCTTGAATCGGCAGGGCTTGTGTTTTGGAAGGGTGCGCTTTTAAAAGTTACTTAAAACCAAAGCCACAACCACAATATTGGGCCTCCTATTTTGACACAAAATGAATTAGCCCAGGAGTCCATTGCCTTCCAGCAGTGGTCTCGCACGGTTTGACTGCAGTCCAGCCAGCCTAGCTTGGGTTCGAAGAGCTCACTGATTTGAGATCTTAGGGAAAAACCACCTCGCAGCGGCTCCGACCGTTCTGAACCCCTTGGAACCCCTCAACACCCAATCCAACAGCCGCTTGCATCACCAGAACCCCTCCGAAAATCAGACCCTCACAGCGGCTCCATACCACAAGTGACCCAATCCAGCAATTGCTCACGGAGCCCTCTGGAATGCTCCAGCAAACTGCTTCATGGAACGCCCTCGCCACCCTTCGGAACCCTACCCGAGAATTCTTGGCTGCGGACCACTCCGGAACTCATTCGGGCAGAAACACCATGAAGTGAGCTCTTGGCAAACTGCAGCGGTTGCTTCCACCGGCAATGCCTAAGATTTCCACTCCCAAACCACTACTCCCAAGGGACCATGGGATCCAGCTCCTCCCCCTGCATGTTCTCTTGAGAGTATTGGTTTTGGTACTGGGTATGTTCAGGGCTTCTTAAAATCACTGGGGGTTGGACACCCCTGTCAATCACCAATTGCAGGGTAAGGTTTGCCTCAATTTCCATCTTTAACGGATGTGTCACCAGGTCCCAAGAGTCATTTTGAAGTTTCTTCTCAACATAGTTTCCACTTTAAGAGAAACCAGTGGGAGTTGCCCTGAAGGGAACTTGGGGTACGATATAGTATATACTTTTTGGCTAAACAGTGATACTCCCTCCCCTGATTTTTCCTGGGGTACTTGTTTCGGGGGTCATGTAAAACGATCCAGGCCGGATGATGTGGACATGGTGGTTCAGCCTGAGAACGGCGTGGAGTGCTTTGACCCCCTCGTCATCAAGACCATGCTGTCCACCAATCAGGGCCTATTGGTGGACATGCGCGACCCCCTGAAGGACGAGAGAGCAGGGTTTCCTTTTCCCACCCCCTTTTGGTGGTTTCAAACATCATCTTTTGGCCAGTTGAAAGGTGTTGAAAGCATTCGTAGCAATGGTTGCAACTGGGGGAACTGGGGTCAGTTCCCTTATAAGAGTGGTCATAACCAAACTCAGATGGAAAAGCCGCGGAGACCAGCTGAGGATCGATTTATACTGAGGGGGTGAACCATAGAGGACACTTTTTGGGATCGGGTTCTCTTTGTGCAAGGACTCGACCATGTCAACCTCCCTGGGGTCATGAGACAATATGAGAAGTTGTGTATCATTTTCCCAACTTTTTCAAGGAAGTGCAAAGGAGGGGGGGTTGGAAGACAACCAATGGACATCAGCGATCAAAGTCCGTTGGCCGGACATCCCCTGGCAAATGTCTCGCGGACCGGCGGCTGAAAGGCCAACAAGTTTGGATGACGGTCATCGCAAACGAACAGGTAGGGGCGCTCTCTCCCTCTCCCTCTCCCTCTCCCTCTCCCTCTCCCTCTCCCTCTCCCTCTCCCTCTCCCTCTCCCTCTCTCCTCTCCCTCTCCCTCTCCCTCTCCCTCTCCCTCTCCCTCTCCCTCTCCCTCTCCCTCTCCCTCTCTCTCTCTCTCCCTCTCTCCTCTCTCCCTCTCTCTCTCTCTCCTCTCTCTCTCTCTCTCTCTCTCTCTCTCTCTCTCTCTCTCTCTCTCAGAGGAGTGCGCTTGAGGCTAAGTTGCATGCTTGTGAGATAGAGCTTAATCTGTTGTACAGTATGGGTTTGTGGGGTACTAGACAGAATTATCTCAAGATCATGGGGAACAATGTTTGCATTATTTGGTCAGACCGGTCGATTGTTAGTTTGCGGACGAGAAGGGGGGGCTGCCCAACTTCAACTGCAAAAACTACCCAATCCCATGTTCTTTGTGGTAGCCCATCCTATTGTCTGTGGGTCATATTTACCTGCTTACTTGGGGTTGCTAGGGTGGGTCATTGACCCTTTAGTAGGGGACTTATACAACTATTGTAAAGATTTCTATTGGAGTTTTGACGATGGCACATATAGCGTGCGAACAGCTTCAGCAGGATCGGCGCATCGGGTTCATCGATGGGTCTTTGAACATCCCTGCGGTGACCACGGACGAGAATGGGCAAATCGTGATGCCCTTCTATCATCAGATCGAGCATTTGGCCAAGGACCGTGGGAGATTGAGACAGGTTCTAAACGGGCTCCAGCTTGCACCATGTGTTGGAGCCCATTTCAACAAAAGAGGTCTATGGAAACTAACGGCCGAATGAACCGCCATGAAAAAACCGAGAGGAGAGTATGACGTGCAAGCAAGAACATAAGCCACATGTAAACCAAAAGACACCAGGGAGCCAAAATGAGCTGCCAATGCTTTCTTTTCGGAAGAATAAACCCTTTTTATAGCCATTGGTTTCGCGTTCTCCCCGTTTAATTTTGTTGACACGGTTGTTGGAATATCCTTCTTTTGGCTGCCCTGAGTTTTGTCCAACCACTCCCCCCCTCCCCCCGCCCGCCCGGTGCCATGGGCACTTAGGCGACATTTTGCAGGCCCAAACCCTCCCATACCCTACAGAAAGCAGTAGCGAGATGGGCATGTGCTTTCTGAGGGTACCCTTTTCAAGTTGGCGTAAAGGAAAACCAACAGGGAACCCACCACTTTTGACATGCACCCAAATGGCTGTGCAACAAATAGTTGGTGTCCTTTTCGGTTCCCTTTAAAACCGCTCCATTTTCAGGGAGTATCCTTAAAAACAACACACACACACACACACGGGCACATAGACCCTAGCCGTTCCCCCCCCCCCCATCCGTCCGTCCGGCAGGAGTGGTCTCAGCTGCCCTTGGTGGTGCTCTATTGCCAGCACTCGCTGCACCGAGCCCCACAGACGCTCGGTGTCCGCCCTGGGAATGGCTGGGAGGGTTAGAGTTTTTTCCCCCTTTACCCTTTGGGTTGGTTCAAACACCGCCTTTAAGCTGAAAAAGAATGAAGAGGCGGTCTTTTGGCGTGATGTTTAAGGAGCAACTAAAAAGGCAGCGCTGCCTCTAAAATGTCATTGGCCTGGATCTTTGTCCTTCAACCTGAGATTTTCCCACTATGCCAACGTCAAAGTTTTTGGGGAGGTAGTCGCCACGCTTGTTGCCAAGGAGGCGGCTCGGCTAGGTCTTGCTATGTCCAGCTTTTGTACTACTTCTCCTGACACCTTGCCCGGCAGCACTGAGGTAGAGCCGACAAGACTGGAGTCCTAGGCAGGTTGAACAATGACAAAGATGACAGTCGACAACATCCATCTATCATACGATAGATGCAAAACAGAAGCTTCGCGTGTCTGATTGTCCACTCAGGACATCTTTTTGCGAGGCTGTAACCTTCCGAGCTGCCCAAAGCGAATCAAGGATTGACCTTCTTGGTTTTCCAGCTCTGGCTTTTAGCCAAGGCGCCTCAAGTATTACTGGTTGCCCATTTTTTGGAGGCCCATTTCCCAAAAGGAGATTTGGATCCTTTGGGCTCTTTGGGTCTCTTTCGTGGGGTTTTGGGGCCTTCAGCACATGGAACTCGCGGCAAGAGTTTGTTTTGTACAAGCCCGTCCAGTTGCACCCCGGTTTTCTTTGAGTACCTCGATCCCACTGCAAACCTCGTGTGTTGCTTCCCCTTCTCCATGCGTCTATCGGGGTCGGTAATAAAAAGGCGACCAAGAGGTCAAGGACTAAAGATGGCTACCAAGAAAACAGGTTTTGTCAGAACAACTGCCAAACACAGGCTGGAAGCTGGGGGGTGCAGGTTTTGACATGCCCCTGCAGAACTGGGTCATGTCTTTTACCCCTGCAGAACTGGGTTATGTATTTTTACCCAGCGGCTCTGAAAATGTGTCCGCTCGCCACCCGAAAGGGTGGTGAAGTTTGCTGAGGATGGCCAACTGGTACCGGAAGGCGGGAGCATGCTCTGATAGTTGCAGACTGAACATATGGCGGGTGGGTCAAACCCAATGGTACCATCTTGGGGTACATTTTAGAACCTATTAGTGGGATTGGGATGTTCACTGGGGGTACGTGATTTTGACCCACAGCCATATATAGAGCGTGGCAAGGCAAAATCGGGGAAGGAATTCACCGATCGGGCTTGCCTAATCCACGTTCCCATGATTGTCCTTTTGGTGCATAAAGTTGAGAGAGCTCTTCGTCGTTTCACGGCAAGGCTCGGTCCTAAGCTGAGGGGTTCATACAAAGAAATGGAAAAGCTAGCATGTGGACATGGGACAGGAAGGCAAAGGCTTGGTGAACAAGTTTCGATTGTTTGTAGAAATCCACGCGCTGATTCACATCTATTTGGGCAAACTGCAACGCTGGGGTAAGATAAGCTCATCCATGATGAAACAGCTGCAAGAGACTTGGGGTGCAACAGACTTGGGGTGCAACAGACTAAAAGTGCAAGAGACTTAGGCAAGCAAGAGCCTTGCGGTGCAAGAGCCCTGTCAGCAAACTTCACAGTGATCCAAAAGACATGCGACTCAGCGCACGCCGATTTGGGAAGGGGGATAGCATCACCCACGACGAAGGTCCTTTACTCGGTGGATGGGAGATTCTTTAGTTCTACTTTGTGCATTGAACTCCAAGGATGTTCCATAGCTTTCCTTGGCTTCTGTCTTGGTCATTGGGCTTTCAATTGCCATTCACTCAGTGGTAAATTCATGAACATGCAATGCTGACGTACAGTTTGCATTTCATCGACTCATTTATGGCATAAGCCTATCGATTTTCCAGGCTAAGTCCACGCATCTCCATCCTGTTCCATTTGATCAGGCGGCCGCCGCGCAGCAGCGGGTGGGCATTATGCTGGGCGGCTTCAGGGGGTGGCAGGCCGCGGGCCTGCCGATTGCACATCAAGAAGGCAACATCGGCATGGTGCTAGGGTGGGCTGGGGTGGTGGAGGATTGGGGTGAGGGGCGGGGGGGGGGGGGGGCGGGTATGAGGGACGCAGGGTCTTGTTTTTTGCAAATAGTTTCTTTTAGTGATTTTGAGGATGTCTGGCTGGCAAATTTTGCCCGGGCCAAACGATTAGTTGGTGGTCGGAAAAAAGAGCCGCAGGGGTTGTGGCAGGGAGAGTTTGGGGGGTTCCCGGTAGGCCGGTTAGGTCCTTGTTGGTGTTGGGAAGGTTGGATGGGGTTGCGGCTGTTTCGAGTGGTGTCCTTTTGTTTCGAGCAGGTAGTGGTTTCAACGCCTGCATTGTGCAAAGTGCTGATTGATGAGCTGTGATCCGGACTGAGCTCAAGCGTCACGTCGAGATCAATGCCTCTGTCTAGCATTCTGAGAAGCTCCAGCTAGACCCAACCCCCTTGAGGTTTTGGTCCGAACCCCGACACCTTCCGCACGCCGAAGCCACCAGGCGTGCGGCCGGAGGAGGTGGTCGACCCTTTCGGGGAGGCGATGGAGCTGGGGAAGAAGGTGGTGCAGGCCAGACATCGGAGGTTGAGCCCTCAAAATGGTGACCTGAACACCCCAAAATGAAACGGTTTGTGTGTGTTTTGAGGTGAAGGGTGCCATCGGTTTGGCTTGTTTTTTTTCAAGGAAAACGAAGAGGAAAGCCACTGCCCTCAGCATCCTGCTATTTTTTGACATACAATTACAACTGGAGGGCACCCTTGTCGCTGACCCAGGGGATCTTCGGACTTCGGGTTCCCAAGTAGTAGGACCCAGTCTCATCTTGCCAATTGAGGCTTTGCCTTTGGCTGGATGGGACTATCCTATGCCAACTGAATTGCCCACGCCGGTCGTGCCATTGACAGGCTTGCCTTCATTCCTTTGGCCATACTGTGGATGGTTGCGAAATCCATTTCGCACCACCTAAGAAACCCTAGAATATAATCATGATCCCCCTGTAAATACCAACAAACGTTGTGGCTTCAACCATGGTTTCTCAGGTGGTTCGAAATGGATTTCGTCCAGACCGTGGCACGGCCTCATTCGCATCATCGCAGCTCGGGTCTGGTGCCCAGGCCACCCAAGATTTGAATCCTCAAGAGGCTCAGCAAGAGATGAGGAGCGAGCAGCCGCTTTTACACATCGCGGTTTGCAGGTTGATGGTTGTGCCGCAGGCGTATTGAAGTCGCTTTCAGCCTGGATGTAGAGATAGGGTAGTGGCTGAACCTGAACCATAGTGTCTGGTTCACACGGACATGTCGTGTATTGTTACGCAGCATATATCATGAGATTCAGTGAACAGAAATATCAATTGTCTATGGTCCATTTCAGGTTCGAACATGAGAAAACACTAAATCGCATGTCTTTGCGGAACCAAACGCACCATTTGCCCACCATTACGTGCTCGTATGTGCTTGTGTTAGTGTCAAGTCGCGCAGAAGGGCCAGCTATCACAAACCAATGAGTGGTATAAACCAATGAGTCGTCTCTTCACTATCTGGCGTCATTGGGTTTTGGGCGCTGGTCATTTGCCCAAAACCGACCTTTTGATCTCTTGATTTTCCACCCTTGTTTCATTTGTTGTCTAGGTCCCAAAAATCAAAAAGGTTAATCTTTGATTTCCAGATCTTTTTGGGCAGGTGAGTAATGGGCTTTTTCCAAGCATGACTACACCTGCAGCCTTTGTTTGTTCTACACCAATGCAGAATTTCATCAAGGGGCATTTGAAACTTGTGCCATCCACTTGCCCCTCAATTGTAGGCCGTTAAGTGACTAAGTGAGCTTCCTTGTGAGGTGAGGTGAGGGGAATTGGGGGGGTGTTTTTTGCTGAGGGTACCCATGTGGGCTTGGTTCTTTCAAGGGAAATGAAAGGGAAACCACCCATCCAGTTGGACCCCCGTGAACCCCCAGTAGCCACCAGGAGAGGCGAGGAGGACGCGATGGAACCCGCCGGGCGTGGGACCACTGGCCTCCAAAACGCATCCCTGGAAAATCCCTTGACGGTTGCGAGCCCGTTGCTTCCTTCGTTTTGGAAATTGGGGGGCCCCTTAAAAATCATCCGGCCATTTTGGGGGTTCTCCTATTTTGAGACAAACCCTGTGTTTTGTTGATTTCTTGCTGGCTGATTTTCTGCATGGATCGCATGGCAGGAACTGATGGGCCATTTTACCACGAGAGGCAGCAACTGAATATGAAACTGGATGGCTTCTTTCAAAAGCGCACGAGTGCGTTTGGGAGGTCTCCGTGGGCATGTCAAGGGACACCAAAAGGAAACCAACCAAGTGGATCCACCAGAGGTAAATCTTGTGTGTGTGTGTGGTTTGGTGTTGTAGGTGTGTGTGTGTGCATATGTGTTGGTGTGGTGTAGTGTGGTGTGGCGTGGCGTGGCATGGTGTGGTGTGGTATGGCGTGGCGTGGCGTGGTGTGGTGTGGTGTGGTGTGGTGTGGTGTGGTGTGGTTGGTGTGTATACAAATATATATATATATATATATGTGTCTTCAGGTGAACCAAACATAGGTGGTAAGTCTGGAGCCATTTGAGCCAGAACAACCTGGGTGGATGACGGCTATGACGGTCGCCAGAAGTAGAATCGGCCCCCATTTTATTCTTTACATGGTTTCAACCTTTTAGCTTGCTGCCCCCACACACCCAGTGGCACAGGCCCACGATGGGCATGGGCATTGATTTGAACAACTGGGCACCCTCGATGTTCTTTTGGGAAAGCAAAAAGCAGAACCAAGCAAAAAGCGGAGCTGTTTCAGTTTCAGGGATTTTCAAGTGACAAGATGCCATTACAACTACCATCTCCACCAGGCCAAAAGGTATAGGGTGCATAGTAGGGCTCCCCGCAGAATAACATGGACCCAAACACCATCCCTGATAGCGAAAGTGCCTTTGGGGGACCCCGTTTTTGAGAAGCTTCCGTGTTACTTTGCAACGTGGGTTCACAAAGTGCTCTCGGGGGTTGTTTGCCTTTGAATGGCCAAGTTGCTCGGAATTGTCTGAGGA